GTGTGAATGCAGCCTGTAACATTACAAATGTTTGCAATTTTTTTGGATATTGACTTTTATCTTAGAGGTCTTAGTGTTGATTTAATTGAAGAGAGTGGTTGGGGCATTGTTTCTGAGTCAGGGGCGGACTGACCATTTGGAAACTCGGGCACTGCCCAAGGGCCCAGGGTCAGTAGGGGGCCCCATGAGATGCCCCTGGTACCTTTTTCATAGGCTTTTTTGAGTTTGGGCAAGGACACAGGGGCCCCATGATCCCCTATTGCCCGAGGGCCCCATGAGTTGTCAGTCCGCCCCTGTTCTGAATACATACAAGTTCACATATTGTTTGTAAATTGATATAGAATTATTTGATTAGTTTTCATACCCACCAGAACAATGCACATTCCAGTTTTTATTTTTTATAAAATGGTGAAAACACAGATTATACCTCTCAGTAGTTGCTGTAAGCATGGATCTTATCGAGGTGAAAAACACTGCTATTATAGGTTAGCTATAAAAACACTACAGAACTGCTGAACAATCAGGTTATTTGCTACTGAGATAGCATAATAATGAAAAGAACAATTTAATTAAAAGGTAGGGAATGAATCTTAGGGGAAAATTAATCCTATTATATTTTGCTGCAAAAAAGAAACCTTTTTCAGTCATGTTAGAATTTCAGTGTAAAACGTTCTGTAAGTACCAACCTCTTTTCAACCTCAAATACATACAGTATATCGTACACCTTTTAATCTGTAAATGGTGCCTTTATACTGTGTGTACAGGAGGCTGATATCATGACTCCAGTACTTACAATTGCAATTACATTTAAAGTGCATGTATAGGTCAGGCACAATCTAAAAAACATATTTCGAACAGCTCTCCTACATGCACATTTCCCCATGTTTTGTCTGTTAAATTTCTGCAAGTGCTGAAACATACCTGCTACTTATACCAGCAATGTAGTCATCCTCTGAATTTCTGTAATGGGCTGACAACACTGCCACTGTTGCACTGAAATCCCAGGTGGTGTTGTCAGCCCTGTCTGAGCTCTCCTATATTGGACTACAGTATGCCAGCACATCTTCCTCTGCTTGTCCCAATAACTTCATTCTTTACATTCTCCCTTCTCTCTTATTAAAGCTGTCTGCTGTTTCTTCCCCACTCCCATTTCAGTACAGCCTAGGCAATGTTGGTACTACTACAGGATATTATGAGCTGACTGTATTTCTGGTAGGATCAGCAAGTATTTTAATGGAGAAATACCACAGAGAACAGCATTGCTAAATATCTTTTCAGACTGAAGCAGAACTCCAGGCATTATGTTTTTTGAAAACTTACATTGGTCCAGCTTGGCTTGATGTAAGTATTCATATTTGAATGGATGACATTCTCAGACTGAACCAGGTGGAGAGGAGGAGCAGTTGATGTCACCATCACCACCTTGTCCAATCAGCGAATGACTTGTATTTGTTAAAAAGATACGAAGCATTCTCTGAATGGTGGTGATGTGGTCAGTTTGCAGAGGGAAAGCTGCTGGAGATGCATCCGGAAGATCACAGCTATCACTGATAAGCAGCACAGAATACTACAGTAGTTTTTAGCATCCTCAGTGGCCTTCTGGATATCAGATATATATACTTATATCGAGCCAAGCTGGATCAGTGTAAGTCTGCAAAAAAGATCATTGCTGGAGTGTCAGAATTTTCTTCAACCACTTTCCCTCCTGAGGATTTACCCCCCTTCCTGACCAGGCCATTTTTTGCGTTACGGTGCTGCATTACTTTAACTGACAATTGTGCAGTCATGCAACGCTGCACCCAAATTAAATTTACTGCCTTTTTTTTTTTTTTTCCCCATGAATTCAGCTTTTTGGTGGTATTTGATTGACTGTACGTTTTTATTTTTTGCGCTATAAAAAAAAAGACTGACAATTTTGAGAAAAAAAAACAATATTTTTGACTTTTTGCTATTAAACATGTCCAGTACAAAAATTTTAAAAGTCAAATTTCGTCATAAATTGAGGCCAAAATGTCTTTGCTAAAAAAAATCCCAATGTGTGTAAATTAATTGGTTTACGTGAAAGTTATAGTGTTCACAAATGGCTGTATAGATAGTGGATTTTGAAAAAAAATTTTAATTTTTACTAGTAATGGCGACAACTTACAGCGGGACTGCGGCGGGCATTCTGACACTGGGGGGAACTTGGTGTCACTGACATCCCCAGTGACACCTATACAGTGATCAATGCTAATAAAAAGCACTGACACTGTACTAATGGCACTGGGCAGGAAAGGGTTAACATGAGGGACGATCAAAGGGTTAACTGTGTGCTGGGTGTGTTTTTACTATGGGGCTGTGTGTTTGTGCTTCACTGTAATCACACTGCTTTGCATGGCTGTGCTGTGCTAAGCCATCCAAAGCAGTGTGCACGAGCTGACAGGGAGGAGAACTGTATTGTTTACAAACAGTTCTCCCCCCCATCGGAGATGCTCGGCAATCACCGGGGCCTGCGAGTAATCACTGGCCGGGACCCTGTGCTTGACGGCCGTGGCCGCAAATGGCGGCTCGCATGCGCCCACTACCCGGAAATGCAAAATCACGTATATATACGTGCAAGATATATGGCAAGTGCTGAGACGTGGTATTGATGAGACTTGTAGTACCACAGACATTTTATTTGTATTTTATTTTTTAATATTTGGTTAGTTATATGTGCAATAGATTAAGACTGTCACATGGTTTAATAATATTGTTTGTTCACATTGTTCACCATAACATTTCATGACGGTATTTAGTATTTAGCGCTGCACTTTTACTTATTCTATTACGTATATATAGGTGATTTTGCGCACCCGTGCCGCCCTGTAGCAGTATATCTGCTATAGGGCAGTCGGGAAGTGGTTAAGGAATACATGTGTTACCAAATAGGCAGAGTAGGCACCAACCCCACACCATTTAAGGTACGATCACGTATATGTATGTGATCGGCCTTCTCCAGGTTTGGGACACACATGCGCATGCCTCCTGCCGAGATGTGCTGTGATTGGACATAGCACGAGCTTGGCAGCTGATTTCAACCAATTATTTTGGCTAAAGTCAGCTGATTGGCTGTGTCCAATCACACACAGAGTTCTGTGTTTACAAAACACAGGACTCTGAGTACAGAGAACAGCTATCTGGCTGTTTTTTCTCCCTGCAAAGCAGTCATATGTAAAGTAAAGTAAAGTGAAGGCAGCATATATTACACACATTACACATTGTTAGGCACACAATAAACCCCTTGCTTGCCCCTATCTGTTAACCTCTTCCAATTTAGTGTCATTAGTACAGTGACAGTGTAAAGCATTAGCACTGATCACTGTAATAGTGTCACTTTTGATGTCAGTGTCAGTTTTTCAATTAGTGTACCTCCCAGCCAGCATCAGCTAGTGCCAGATTGCTCACCACACTATCAGTTATTGATCACCGCCATTGTCAGTATAGCATCATAGCTGTGTAAATTCCAGTATAGATACCATAGTTTGTAGATGCTATAACTTTCACAGATATCATTTAAAATACACTTGTTTGGGATTTTGTTTTTACCAAAGACATGTAGCAGAATACATTTGGCCTAAATTTATGAAGAAATTTGATTTTTTGATTTTTTTTTTAATTGGATATGTTTTATAACAGAGAGAAGAAAATAATGTTTTTTTCACAGTTTTCAGTCTTTTTTTCATTTATATAATAAAAAATAGAAAACTCATTGGTGATCAAATACCACCAAAAGAAAACTCTATTTGTGTGAAAAAAAAATGTATAAATTTAATTTGGGTACAGTATTGCATGACCGAGCAATTGCCAATTAAAATAATGCAGTGCCAAACAGCAAAGAAATGGCCCGGTCACGAAAGGGGGAAAACCACTCAGAGTTCAAGTGATTAAAGAATTAGTGCTTTGTGACGCATTTTAGTGTGATAACCACAGAGAGAAGAGTAGGGTATGTATAACTTTAGAGAACACTATAATACCAAGTAACATAGCAAATTTTGTATCTTTCTAGTGCTCCCAATGGTGATACTCAGAAATGCGGTAGTTCAGCCTCATGTGTCTCCATCAAAGGGTCAAGCAGCAGCTCAAGTGAATCTGACACTAGCTCTGAATCAGACTCTGAGACCGAGAGCAGTTCTAGTGAGAGCGAAAGCAGCACGCCATCTGCCTGTACCAGCCCTGAGGTAAGAAATTCTTTGGAGTTCTGTCGCCAAGTCATAAAAAATCTCTGTGTATTTTTCTTTTGCTGTGGCCGAGTATGTATCTGTGAGATACAAGTGTAATAAATGGATATCTAGTGTATGAAATGTCCTGGGTAGTGCTTGTGGCTCTGAAGTTTAGCATGCTATAGAGCAACCACATCACTAATCAGGGATCAGGGAGTTGCTGTCAGTTTAATAGGTAGCTACAAGTTCAAAAAAGGTTTGTACGGAGATATAAGTACAGATTTGCTTTATGCATGTTTCCTATGAGCTGTGCTTCTAAAAAATAAAAGTAGCATATCTCTGATAAAGTTAGTTAATATTTAGAACTAGTTTTGATTGGAAAAATAAAGACTAAGGCAACTTTGTTACATACGGCATGTATAAAAGATGTCAGTATTATTTACAGATTTTTTTTAGTTTTCTAATAATATACACACACATATATACCATCCTGCTGTTAAACTGAATTTGAGCTGTAAAATGCTGTACCTCTGCACTAGTGAAGAAGAACAATGGAGTAGCAAACAAAATGTTCCATACTGTATTATACTATACTGTATATCCAAATACAATGTTTAAAAAACACAGCTGCTACAGCTGCATATACACTATATTGCCAAAAGTATTGGGGCACCCCTCCAAATCATTGGATTCAGGTGTTCCAATCACCTCCATGGCCACAGGTGTATAAAATCAAGCACCTAGGCATAAAGGCTGCTTCTATAAACATTTGTGAAAGAATGGGTCGCTTTCAGGAGCGTGATATGTTGCCACCTGTGCAATAAATGAATCCATGAAATTTCCTTGCTACTAAATATTCCACGGTCAACTGCTAGTGGTATTTTAACAAAGTGGAAGCAACTGGGAACAACAGTAACTCAGCCACGAAGTGGTAGGCCACGTAAAATGACAGAGCGGGGTCAGCGCATGCTGAAGTGCACAGCGCACAGAAGTCACCAACTGTCTGCAGAGTCAAGAGCTGAAGACCTCCAAACTTGGTGTGTCCTTCAGGTTAGCACAACAAGAGTGCATAGAGAGCTTCATGGAATGGGTTTCCATGGCCAAGCAGCTGCATCCAAGCCTTACATCACCAAGTGCAATGCAAAGCATCACTCCACTGCTCTAGAGCCACCACTGGACTCTAGAGCAGTGGAGACGTGTTTTTTGGAGTGACGAATCATGCTTCTCTGTGTGGCAATCTGATGGATGTGTTTGGGTTTGGCAGTTGCCAGGAGAACAGTACTTCCTGACTGCCTTGTGCCAAGTGTAAAGTTTGGTGGAGGGGGGATTATGGTGTGGGGTTGCTTTTCAGGGGTTGGGCTTGGCCCCTTAGTTCCAGTGAAGGGAGCTCTTAAGGCATCAGCATACCAAGACATTTTGGACAATTTCATGCTCCCAACTTTGTGGGAACAGTTCCTGTTCCACCATGGCTGCACACCAGTGCATAAAGCAAGGTCCATAAAGACCTGGATGAGCGAGTTTGGGGTGGAGGAACTTGACTGGCCTGCACAGAGTCTTGACCTAAACCCAACAGAACACCTTTGGGATGAATTCGAGTGGAGATTGCGAGCCAGGCCTTCCAGTCCAAAATCAGTGCCTGACCTCACAAATGTGCTTCTGTAAGAATGGTCAAACATTCCCATAGACACACTCCTAAACCTTGTGGACAGCTTTCCCAGAAGAGTTGGAGCTGTTTTAGCTGCGAAGGGTGGGCCAACTCAATATTGAACCCTGCGGACTAAGACTGAGATGCCATTAAAGTTCATGTGCGTGTAAAGACAGGCACATGGCAATATAGTGTACATCTGGGTACTTATTGCCTACAATCACCATCGCTGGTCCAGTTTGGAGCAATGCTCTATCACCCCAACCCAACATTACAAAATGCAGTCTCAGAGCCTTTCTATTGGCCACTCATGTACCTGCACTGTATTGTGGAATCCTAGGGAGTAGGTCAGAGTGCTCATTTAAAAGGTACCTCCACTTTCTTGAGAAAAAAATTGCAAATAAATAATAATAATATAGCATATACAATTGCTACACAAGTCATATTGTAATTCGATGTTATTAAAATTACCTTTTCTTTTCTATCTGCAGCACTGTAATTTTGTGTAAAATGCAATACCATATGGCTACCTGGAGGTGTTATGTGCACAGGTGGTGTACAAAACACCCCACAGAAATGTAATTTCCTGCTTGTGTGATTGGCTCATTGAAAGTCTGCACAAAGATACAAATCAGATTTTGAGCATCCCCTGCAATACAAATGTCATTTTGGTGAGATACTCCAAAAAGGAAATCATGTCTAGGCCATGCTACCTTCCTCATTAGAACGCTGCAGATGGAGAAACTATTTGATAATTATAAAACCACTCCCATATAGTTTCACTCAGCACATGGACACAGACAAACAGCTATTTCTTCAGAATAACAAATGGTAGGAATCTGCAACAAAGTTAGTTAAAATCTTTGCAATATACATAGATCACCCAGAGGGGATTGTTTTTTTCTCAACAAAAGTGGAATTACCCTTTAAAAGGAATTAAAAGTAAATGCAGGTACTAATCTCATAGGTGTGTGTTGTCTACCATTTTTAATGTATTTGATACCAAATTGTCTTTTCTTTAGTATTTATTAATTCTAAGCATTGACTTAAAAATCTTTTGATTTGCATCCAAAACAGGCAACTTCAAACAAGTGGCAGCTGGATAAATGGTTGAATAAAGTCAATCCAAACAAAAGCACAATTCTTAACCATGCACAGCGCCTGAATCTCAGCAGAGTCCATGCAAATGAACCAAGTCGCACAGAAGTATCCAAAACGTGTCATACAAGTCCAAATCCCAAGGATGACCAGAGCCCTATCAGAGAGGATCGAAGCTTGGGAGCAGTTTGTGCAGTTCATGGAAGTCGAAGTGTAAAACTGCAGCCATCTCCACACGTTGCGCGTGCTGCTACAATTGTCGTTGCTGTTCCTGCTGAAAGTACCTCTTGTAGGCGACCTGTATGCAGAAAACTAACAAGGAGGGCAGAGAGGACATCTAGTGATGATAAGCTGAACTGCCACAAGCTTGATGAGACTTTTTTAAGCCAAGGAATTCCAGAGGATGAAATACCTGAGCAGGGAAAGGATAGGTTAACATGCAATAGCAAAGGATTTCATAGAAAAGAACCACGATTGAGTCTCTTGGGGTGTGAACGCAGACGGACTCGAATTACTAGATCTGCCCCAAAATTCAAGGAGGTCACTGAGTTTTCAGTGCAACCTGAAGAACTTGGCACAGAAACAGAAGTAGATACATCACAACTTTCTAAAACATTCTCAGCTTCCCCATCAGAAAATAACCACAGGATCAAAGAGTGTGGGCAAAATAATATTGCCTGGCCTAACACATACAGTTCACACAGCTGTGTCAATGCAAGGACTAGAAATAACATTGCACCAGAGTCTGAAGAACTGCTTTATACACTAGTTCCCTTTGGAAGAAATGACAATGTGTGCTCCTTAAAGGGTATTGAGGAGATCAGATCACTGTGGGTCAGGATTGATTTAAATCTTCTGGCCAGAATTCCACAAAATATGTCCCAGGAAAACCAAAATATCAATTCCAACATGGACAAGACATTAATAGCATCTCGAAGTGAAGAATTATCTCCAGCAATAGATAACACTGCTTTCAAAATGCGTCGGAAACGTAAGGTAGGAATACATGGTGCTGTAAATTGCTGAACAAAATAGCTCTTTTTGTTTATTCTGATTATTATAAAAAAATTCTATTCACCACAGTCTTGTGTAGAAACAAATATACAGATACATGTAGCACAGTGGCTAAGTGGTTAGCACTTCCACCTAGCAGCACTATAGTCATGGGTTCAAACCTCAACCACGGCAACCAATCCCAATCATGTTCTCCCTGTGCTTGTGTGGGTTTTCTCTGGGTACTCCGGTTTCCTCCCACACTCCAAAGACATGTTGGTAGGTTAATTGGATCCTGTCTAAATTGGTCCTAGTATATATGGATGTGAGTCAGAGACCTTAGACTGTAAGCTCCTTGAGGGCAGGGACTGATGTGAATGTACAATATATACACTCACTGGCAAGTTTATTAGGTACACCTGTTCCATTGCTTGGTAACACAAATTGCTAATCAGCCAATCACATGGCAGCAACTTAAACGCATTTAGGCATGTGTGTAGACAACTTGCTGAATTTCAAACCGAGCATTAGAAAGGGGATTTAAGTGACTTTGAATGCGAAATGGGTGTTGGTGCCAGATGGACTGGTCTGAGTATTTAAAAAAAACTGCTGATCTACTGGGATTCTCACACACAACAATCTCTAGGGTTTATATAGAATGGTCCAAAAAAGAGAAAATATCCGGTGAGCGGCAGTTGTGTGGATGCAAATGCCTTGTTGATGTCAGAGGTCAGAGGAGAATGGACAGACTGGTTCGAGATGATAGAAAGGCAACGGTAACTAATCTCAATATGAACCAAAATCTCTAAGGAATGTTTCCAACACCTTGTTGAATCTATACTATGAAGAATTAAGGCAGTTCTGAAGGTAAAAGGGGGTCCAACCTGATACTAGAAAGGTGTACCTAATAAAGTGGCCAGTGAGTGTATGTGTAAAGCACTGCATAAATTGATGGCACTATGAAGGTACCTGTAATAAATATGTTTAGGATGATCCTGCAATTAAGTTGAATTGCAGGCAAGCAGCTACAGTGTATGAAAGATGTTTTTCTTGAAAAAGGATTTGTATTTATAGTCCATCTAGTCCTGAAATATAAAAAGCCTCACCAGATAGAAGAGTTGACAATTTGACTTTTTTTCTATTGCAGTTCAGCAGTACAGCCTAGCCCAGCATTTCTCAACTTTTTTTCAGTTCTCTCAGACCCCCTTAAAAATATGCAAAATCCCCAGTCTAAAATGGAAAGAATGTAATTGTTACTTATCAATGGGAAAACTGATCTTGAGACAATGCACACAAAAGCCTTGATGAAATTGACATCATATTTGAAGCCCCCTTTACACCAGAGTTCTCCCAATGTGTTAGAGGTCCCCCCATCACATCAGAGCCCCAGTCACATCAGAGTTCCTCCTTCACATCAGAGGCCCCCCATCGCATCAGAGTCACCCCTTCATGTTAGAGACCCCACAAACATCAGAGCCCCCCATCACATCAGTTTCCCCTATGCATCAGAAGCCCTCTGTACATGCATTCTACTTCATATCAGTGCCTCCCCATTGCATCAGTGTCCCCTCATCACAACAGAGTTCCCCATCTCATCAGAGTACTCCCATCTTAGATCCCTACAATCACACAGTCCTCCAACTCAGAGCCCCCAGTCACACAGGTTCCCCATCATGGAGCCCCTTAACCAAACAGTCACCCAATCACAGAACCTCCCCAATCACACAGTTCCTTCTTCACATCAGAGCTCTTCTTTTTGGCTCCAGCAGTGGATGTGCTTAGGAAAGTCATGGTGCTGATCCAGGGCAAGGACCCAGGGTGTCATTGCACTTTGGCTGAGAAACACTAGCCTAGTCATCACCCCATCCCTAGCCTCTGATAAAACAGTGAAGTAACAGCAGCAGCATAGTAATGAGTCATCCCTTTGCTCACTCTGCTCCCTCCTTCTGTCAGAATGTTCCTTACAACTCATTTGCACTAGGGTACACATGACTGGCACCTAGTACCCTCTCTGAGTCTTAGGCCTCGTTCACACCATACGCGCAGAAAAACTGATGGAAACTGATGTGCAGATTTCAGTTGCAGAGACATCAGTGTACATCTGTTTTCATGTGCACTGCAATAAGTTTTATACGCGTTGAAGAAAAATCTGCATGTGATGCCAGTGTTGTGGTGTAAACAGGACACAAAGAGAACAATTGATTTCATTGTGCCCTTGCAGAACGCATGCAAAAAAAACTCATGTCTCTGCCAGGGGCGGACTGACAACTCTTGGGGCCCCCGGGCAATAGGGGATCATGGGGCTCCTGTATCCTTGCCCAAACTCAAAAAAGCCTATGAAAAAGGTACCAGGGGCATCTCAGGGGGCCCCCTACTGACCCTGGGCCCTCGGGCAGTGCCCGAGTTTCCAAATGGTCGGTCCCCCCTGGTCTCTGCACCATGGTGTGA